GTAAACAGATACTTTAGGGCTGAGTGGTCCGTATAGATAGTCACTTTGGTGCCCACAATATAAGACTGGAATTTCTCACAAGCAAACACCACTGCAAGCAATTCTTTCTCTGTAGTAGTGTAGTTAAGTTGGGCATCATCCAAAGTTTTACTAGCATAGTAGATGGGATGGAAGACCTTCTCTACTTTTTGTCCTAGAACTGCTCCAATGGCAAAATCACTAGCATCTGCCATAATGATGAAGGGTAGTTCCCAATTAGGTGCCACTAAAATGGGTGCTGAGGTGAGCTTCTTCTTTAATTCCTCAAAAGAGTTCATACAAGCGTCATCAAACTTGAACTCCCTATCTTTCTCCAACAAATTGCACAAAGGCTTAGTGATTTTAGAGAAATCTTTAATGAAACGACGGTAGAATCCCGCATGACCCAAGAAACTTCTAATACCCTTAACACTTGTTGGTGGAGGCAATTGCTCAATAACAGATATCTTTGCCTTGTCAACTTCTAGGCCTTGTTTGGATACTCGATGACCAAGGACAATGCCCTCTTGCACCATGAAGTGACATTTTTCCCAATTCAGAACCAAATTAGTTTCTTCACATCTTTGCAAAACAGCCGCCAAATTATCTAAACAACAATCAAAAGAATCTCCAAAAACAGAGAAGTCATCCATGAACACTTCAATTGTTTTCTCAATCATGTCAACAAAGATGGCCATCATGCATCTTTGAAATGTTGCTGGAGCATTGCAAAGACCAAATGGCATTCTTTTGAAAGCAAACGTGCCATATGGACAAGTAAAGGTTGTTTTCTCTTGATCTTCTGGGGCTATTACAATTTGGTTGTATCCTGAATACCCATCCAAGAAACAAAAGAATTCTTGCCCAGCAAGTTTATCCAACATCTAATCAATAAATAACAGCGGGAAATGATCTTTTCTGGTTGCTATATTTAACTTTCGATAATCCATGCAAATTCTCCACCCAGTCACGGTACGAGTTGGAACTAGCTCATTTTGGGTGTTAGCCACTACAGTTATACCGCCTTTTTTAGGGACGCATTGAACTGGGCTCACCCATGAACTATTAGAAATAGGGTAAACTATGCCAGCAGAAAGCCATTTAAGGATCTCTTTCTTGACTACCTCTTTCATAACCGGGTTTAATCTCCTTTGATGCTTGATAGAAGGTTTGTGACCATCCTCTAATAAAATCTTGTGCATACAAATAGAAGGGCTGATCCCTTTGATGTCAGCTATAGACCACCCAATAGCTTTCTTGTGGTGTCTCAAGACCCTTAACAGTTTCTCTTCTTGCAGCGTGGACAACTGAGAAGAAACAATCATAGGTAATGTAGTAGAATTACCCAAGTAGGCATACTTGAGATGTGATGGTAAAGTCTTCAACTCCAACACCGGCGGTTCATCAACAGAAGGCTTTAAAGGAGAGCTCAAAGCACTAGTCACATCCAGACGCTTAAAAGTCTTAGCTTTTCGATACGGAAACGCTTTAATACTCATCATTTCTGCATAAGCTTCAACCTTGCCATCAATACTACTTGTTTCTCCAATCAACAATGCTTCTAATGGGTCTTTGGTCAAAGAGTTAATCAGCTCCTCTTGCACTGTGGAAGCAATCACATCAATACAATTACAGTGAGCAGAATCATCTGGAAACTTCAAGGCTTGATTCATGTTGAATATCACCTTCTCATCATTTACTCGCATGGTGATCTCACCCTTTTCTACGTCAATGAGGGTTCTTGCAGTAGCTAAAAATGGTCGTCCCAAAATAATGCGGATATTCCAATCTACCTCACAGTCTAACACAATGAAATCAGCTGGGAATATGAATTTGTCTACCTTCACCAAGACATCTTCTACAATCCCTTTTGGATATGAGATGCTTCTGTCAGCAAAGAGCAATGTAACTATTGTTGGCCTTGCTTCACCCAAATTTAATCGATTAAATACAGCTAGAGGCATCAAGTTAACACTTGCTCCCAAATCACATAGGGCTTTTCCATTGAAGTGTTTGCCTATGTTACAAGGAATATAAAAGCTGCCTGGATCTCTCAGTTTGGGTGGGAGATTTCGCTGCAAGATGGCACTACAATCTTCAGTCAGAGCCACCGTTTCAAATTCATCAAATCTCTTCTTTTTGGAGAGAACATCCTTAAGAAACTTAGCATACTTAGGCATCTGCTCTAATGCTTCAGCAAACGGGATGTTAATGTGTAATTGCTTAAACATGTCCACAAATTTCTTGAACTAGACATCTTCATCTTTCTTCTTGAACCTTTGAGGAAATGGAAGCGGCGGCATCTGTGTAGCAAGAGGGGGAGTTGTCTTCCTCTTTTTATCATTAACTATTTCACCCTCTACATTCTTTCCTCGAACCACATCATTGAGATTTTCTTCTGTTTGTTTCCTTTTCTTGGTTTCTTCCTCTTCTACCACACCACCTTCTTCTGAAAGCTCATTTGTATCAAGGTCAGTCGCCATACTGTTAGTGATGTCCTTGCCGGTCTGACTAGGCCTCTGAATGTCAGGTAATTGCTTTCCACTTCTCAAACTGATTGCTTTGCACTCTTCATTACCATCCCTTTTTGGATTGGGAATGGTATCACTTGGTAAGCTGCTTCTTGTGAGTACATTCATTTGGGAAGCCAGTTGACCCATCTGCACCTCGAGATTCTTGATAGCAGTTCCATGGAGAGAAAATGTTGCCTTATTCTCAGCCCTTGCAGATTCTTGATTTGCTAATAGTTGAGCAAACATCTTCTCAATTTTGGAATCTTCCTTTTGAGGATGCTGCTGTTGCAATTGATGTTGCTGTGGTTGACCATGAAAACCAGGAGGCCCCATTTGTTTAGCACCAAATGGTAATATTTGTGGGGGATTCAAACTTGGCCTATTTCGCCAAGAGAAATTTGGATGATTTCTCAAATTTGGATTGTAAGTTTGAGAATAAGGGTTTCCTTGTGGTCTTCTTTGCGCATTATTCATATAATTGACTGTCTCCAAGGTGTATGGGCATTGATCAGAATGATGTTCCTCATTACAATGGTCACAAGTGTATCTCGGAGCTTGAAGTGCATGAACTCCTGCAGCATTTCCTTTCTTAATCTGCAATTCCAGATTGTCAAATCTCTTAGATATTGCTTCAAGTTGCGATGCAATATCCCTTGATGATGAAGAACTAGGCTCCTTATATCTCCCAGAACTTTGCCTTCTTTTGTTATACTGTTGCATAGTGCTAGATGCTACCTCTTCATACAGTTCATATAGCTCATTTACCTTCATCTTCCCTATTCCTCCGTTTGAAGCGGTATTCAGCATTGTCACTATCTGATCATTCAACCCATTCCAGAAGGCTTCCATTAGAACATATTTCTTTTGCTCATGATTTGGACAATTTCTCCACATATCCTTGAATCTTTCCCAAGCCTCGTAAAATAACTCATCCGGATGCTGCTCGAAAGAAAGCAATTCACCCCTTAATGTAGCACGTTTGCCCCTTGGAATAAATCTGCCCTTGAACTTAGACACAAGATCATCCCAAGTCTTAATAGAAAAATGGATTTAGCTATACATATCGAGTAAATAACTACAACTATAAGAGTATCTAGTAGTCATAGCAGAAACAAGAAGGGAAGAAGAAGGAAACCTAGAAAATTCAAGATACAAGCTTTGAATCTCTTCTAGCTTCAAGCCCAAAGGTTCCAAGCCTCCAAAACTCCAAACCCTAGCAGAGCCAGCCTCCAAAATTGCTCCAAAAGTCGAACTCCCTTCAGAAAACCCAGTATCCACCTCTATATGCCCTAATTTTTTAAGTTAGCAAGTAAAACACACAGCTGCGAGGGGCCAGGCGCCTCGACGGATTCCTTCAGGCGCCTCGGCGCCTTTTACAGAATGGCTTTGACGTTCAGGCACCGCGGTGCATTGGAGAATCGGCCGCGGCGGATTATACCGAATAGGTTCCTTCGAGACAGCTTGGGCGCCGTGGCGGATTCAGTAAGGCGCCGCGGTGCCTTTTACAGAGGCGCACTAATGCTTTTCTATTTGATCTGCCGCGGCGGATTCTCCCAGAGGCCGCGGCGGCTGACTCCTTTCCAGCTTTTCTCCTTTCTTTACTCTACTCAAGCTTTGTTTCCTGCAAAATTGACTATCAAACCCCATAAAAGAGTGTTAAATCAGCTTAATTCAGTAGGAATTTTGAGAGGTTATCATCTATATCCCTCATTTTCAATGTTTCATACCAAATGAGAACTGAGTTTTCACTGTTCGTTGGGTCCTGTGTGTGTTTGGTGTTTTCTATATGTACTGTGTACTGTGTAATGTGTGCAGTATGGCCCAATTTGGTCTAGTCTTTTAGTGCAACCTGAATTTCCTTCTGTAATCTTTTTATGTTTTACTTTTAATAATATTAATTGTAGATTCCACCTTTTTCCCCTTTTATATCCAAAGCAGAGCACTAGGCCTAAAACCTAATTTTGTCTTTGCATGGAAGCTATAATTTCAAACATAGAAATATCTCAACGACAAGGGAACTATTTGGAATCACATTTATATCTAATTATAAGTATGTTTTATGTAAGTCGAAATAAAATTTCTCTCGTATGCTTAACTTATATTTCATAAAGTATGATTGAAAATCTATTTATAAACCATTCCAAACTGACCCAAACCCAATCACACCACACGATGAGGACATTATATTTGTGTAAATTTACATTGTGAAATGATATAATAATATATAATTATAAAAAAAAATCTTGTTTAATTAAACCTTGATAGGTCAATGGCATCTATAAATATACGCTAAAACATTAAATAAAGGAGAAATCTCTATCATTCTAGACCTTTGAGATCGCTGCCTTACCAATAACTAAATAAAAAACGAGAGATCAAAAAGCCTATCTCTTTGACAATTCACACCTCAATTACTGAGTACAAAAAAGCATAACTTGCCATTAACATTCTTTCAATACATATGCAACCATGGAGATACAGATCCCATATTCCATCATCTTCTTCACCTTCTTCTGCTTCTTCTTTGTAATTAACAAGCTATCTTCTTCCAAGAAACCCACCAAAAACCTACCTCCAGGGCCATGGAAATTTCCTCTCATCGGAAACCTCCATCAACTTGCTTGCTCACTACCTCATCGTTCTCTCACAAATCTTGCAAACAGGTATGGGCCCTTCATGCACCTTCAACTTGGACAGGTTTCTCATATCATAGTGTCTTCACCAGAATATGCCAAAGAAATAATGAAGACCCATGATCAGATCTTTCAAATAGGCCCAAAAATCTTGCTACTGATATCTTGACCTATAATAGCACAGACATCATCTTTTCCCCATATGGAAACTATTGGAGGCAACTTCGAAAGATTTGTAACTTAGAGCTTTTCTCAGCAAAAAGGGTTCAATCGTTTAGAAGGATTAGGGAAGAGGAGGTATCAGCACGGGTAAGAAACATCTCTGACCATGAAGGCTCTGTCATCAACCTCAGCCAAAAAATCTTAGAACTCACGAATTCCATAGTTGCAAGAATGGTCTTTGGAAAGAAGACAAAGAATGTAGAACAAATCCTACAAATTACAGAACAAGGACAAAAGGCAAGCTCTGGGTTATCCATTTCTGATTTCTATCCTTCGCTGAAATTTCTTAACATCGTCACTGGGATGAGAGCTCGAATTATAAAGCTGCACGATGGTGGAGATAAAGTGTTTAATGAAATCATCAAAGACCACAAAGAAAAGAAAATAAATAATGTTGGAGAGGCAGAGGAGGATCTAGTTGATGTTCTTCTCAGAATTCAAAAGGATGATGACTTGGAGATCCCCTTATCTATCTCTAGACAACATTAAAGCTGTTCTTAAAGTTAGTCTTTTATTATATTAAATGTTGCTCTTTTTTTTTTGGTGAGCAATATTAAATGCTACATAGTTTGTAATTTGATACATAAAATATAACGCACATATGCACACATACATTCCTCAAATCAATTGTGTGAATTCCTTCCTTTTCAGGGCGTTTTCTTTGCTGGAACTGAAACAGAGGCAACTACAACAGATTGGGCAATGTCAGAATTGCTCAAAAACCCGAAGGCTATGAAAGAGGCACAAGAAGAGGTATAACTAAAACTAGAGTTTTGAATGTTTTGTATAATAATTTTGTGGGTTGTGTTATTTATTTATATTAATTTATAAATATTATTGAGCTGACTTAAACATGAGAGTTATTATTGGCTTTGTAATAGGTAAGAAGAGTCTATGGAGACAAAGAATATGCAGATGAATCAGAACTACACCAATTAAAATATGTGAGTGCTGTCGTCAAAGAAACCTTAAGGCTCCATTTACCAGTGGCATTGTTGGTTCCAAGAGAGAATAGTAAGAGTTGTGAAATCAATGGATATGTGATACCTCCCAAGACAAAAATTATCATTAACGGTTGGGCCGTTGCAAGAGATCCCAAGAATTGGAATGATCCAGAGATGTTTGAACCAATGAGATTTCTTGATACAATGGTTGATTACAACTTCAAAGGTTCACATTTTGAGTATATTCCATTTGGTGCTGGAAGAAGATGTCATGAATCTAACAAATATTGGTGGGACCCAAGGAAGACACGTGGCTTGTGATCGCTTTATAAGTGTGGTGCCTCTGCATGATGCCGTTATAGATAACCGAATGAGAAAGGAATCCCAACAACGTGAAACTGAGGCTATATATCAAGGGAGGTTGTTAGTGAAAAGGGTGTGGATTATGTGGTGATTCTCTTCTGACACTCTCCCCAGTATTTCTCCTTCCCTCTGATTCTTTGCTATCCTTCCTGGTGATTTCCTTCCTTTACGCACTTTCTGTATTTCTGTGACTGGACGTTCATGTATTTCTGGATATTTCCCGTTGCTTTCATCATAGATATATAAATAATATTCAGATTTCAGTGCAAATTTACTGTGTTGATTGTTACTTGTTTTGAGATCATGACAGAAGAATCTGTCCAGCGCCCACATTTGTTACGCCTGTTTTAGAGTTATTACTTTCCAATTTACTTTATCATTTTGATTGGAAGCTACCAAAGGGGATGAGGCTTGAGGAATTGGACATGGATGAGTCATTTGGTGCTGTGATAAGAAGGAAAAGTAATCTGAATTTAGTTCCTATTCGCTATTACCCTTGAGTTTACGTGTTTGTTACTTGAATGATAGTTGGAAGTTTCAGATATCATTGATCTATGTTGTGGGAGCGAGGAATGAATAAAAAATCGTTTTGATTTGAACATTTATTTTGTGAAAAAGTATCAATTAAGTGCTTTTTTTCATCATTTATTCGTAAAAGAGAGAAGTACAATAAATCTTAAAAGACTCTCATTTATTTCTCATAAAAATCTCTCCTTCTGAGAGAGTATAATAGTGGCTTGTCAATTTTGTATTTTCGCATCGAATTTAACTCATAATTTCTAAGACAAGAATTTCCACTACAAACCAATATGAGTTAGACTATATGTTCTTTATCCCCAAAAGAATAAATAGGACTGGAAGGATATATATCTAGCATCATGATGACTTGACTTTTTTAATTGAATCAATCGACTCTCTTTTATGGATGACAAATTCTGATCCTTATTCGTGTCTATTTTAATTGGATGACGCACTCGACTATTAATAATTTCATTATTAAACAGACAAGTCGTTTGAGGAATTAATTAAGAATGGTAAAATGAAACAGGTGCCACATGCTTGCGGGGCTAAAGTGTCTGAAAGTAGCTTCCGTGCTTAATATAATAATTAGATAACTAATTTGAGCATATTAAAAAATTAGTTAAATTGATTATTTGTAATAAATGTATTTTGACTTTTCTAACTTATTATCTTTAATCATGTGTATTGGGACTACTCCTTGGTTGAAGCTTTTTACATTCAATAAGGATATGTGGAAAAAAAATATAAATTTAAAAGATAAAATGGATTGAAATCTTATATTTACGATCAAATTTAATCCCCACCTAGCTTTTATATTAAAGATTGGAGATAATATTTTAATTAATGAATCTGTCTGAAATATTTAGTTATAAACCTATTTTCTTCTATAACATCTTGTGAGTAATAGTAGTTATCCAAAACTGTATATTAATTCATTGGAGTAATATATTGTTTTTCAAATGTTAGAATCGTCTCAATGTTAGTCTTTGACTAATAGATATTGATGTTCGTTGCTTACGTATTATTGATTTTGTATGAAAAGTTTATCTTATCCCTAAAGTATTTAAATCAATAATTGGTATTTTTTTTTACCGAAACTTATCCCTAAAGTATTTATATGAATAATTAATACTATAACTAAACTAGTTAAGATAGACACATGTATAGCACGTAACAACGACATTAATATAATTCATGGTTAGCGTGAGTTAGCAATTCTTTTTCTTTTTCTTACGGACGAAGCATTTGTTGACAAACCAAATGAAATTCACTTTTTATATTTTTTAACTAAAACATGTGCATCACGTGCTAACGTTGGGTATTAGTGAAAGCTGACAGATCTCCTTATGACAAATGAGTTCCTAATTAATAAGTCAAGATAAATATATATATATATATATGAATATGTGTGTGTGTGTGTGTGTGTATAACTTGTGACAATATTTCTAATTGATCGTTCATCTAGATTAATAGATTTTTTTATTATTAATGAATGCCTGATTGGCAAAACATGTGGCAGCTTAAATACGAAGCCACACATGTTTTGATTTTAAAAAATAGAGATACCATCTACATTATTAAACTTTTGTATGTGAGTTACGCTTTTATGATTTTATTTTCTACCTATAACTATCCTTCTATTAGTATAATCATATTAAAGGTATTACACTAAATGTAAGCACCTTTTCAAGAATTCGAACATACTCTTTCATGAATATTTTAAGAGCAAATTAAAATGGTCTTTAACTCAAAGTTAATTCAGAGTTAATGATCGACGTCAATATTTTTGACAAAAAAAAAATGATCGACGTCAATATTCGTTGGTCAAAAAACACAATCCGAACGATTTTGATGTTCGAGAGGTGATATTGCTATAATAAATACTTTAAAATAACCAGTGCTTCTCATAATACAATCTATAGTTCAAGGACAAAAACCTTTAACTTGAATTTTTATTTATATTTGGCTAAAGGATACATTTGGTCCTATAATTTTGTACAAGGTTTCAGTTTGGTCCCTTAACTTTAAAAAGTATATTTTTAGTTCTTTGACTTTAAAATTTTTTTTAAAAAAATGATGAAATTAATATCTTAAATGTTGATAAAATATTCTCAAATGTTAACATATTAAGTTTAATTTTCAAAATGTTCATAATTGTTACAAAAAAATATCATTGAAGCCTAATGATTTTAGAGTTAAAAGACCAAATATAAGCTTTTAATTTTAAAGTTAAAGGACCAAATTGAAATCTTGTATAAAGTTAAAAGACTAAGTGTGTGTTTGGGTGACACTCCAAATCATGGTTTGGGGACCTAAACCATGGTTTGGGGTGTCAATCACCCAAACACCCCCTCTAAAAGCCAAAACCATGGTTTTGGAAAAAGCAAAAAAAATTTTCTTTTGGAGAAAAAAGGGAGAGTGTGAGAGCCTATAGGATATATATCTTGTTATTTTTTTATAAATATTTTTTATAAACATATTTAATCTTATATTTTATAAATATATATACACATTAATTTTTATTATTATTATATCTTATGTATTAGTAATTATGTTGGTAAAAAATATATTATTAACAATTTTATTCCTTCAAATTAAAATATATCATAAAATCTATTTTTTCTGTAATTATCATATTAACTTATGTCTTTTTTTTAGTAATTTGTATATATAAAAAATGCTTCTGATAACAATTATCCAAACACTCTCACTTCTCATAATCACTTTTTTACAAAATCTATTCTTCACAGAATCTATTCTCCCCAGAATCTATTCTCCAGAATCACTTTTCCAAACCACGGTTTGGTTTCATCCAAACACACCCTAAATATATACTTTAGTCTTTATATTTCAAAGGGACCTGCGTAATCACCAATGTCTACAATTACTTTGAACTTGTGGTTTATAATTTAGAAGCCACATAAAACGACAGATCAATTAATTTAAGTATTTGATATAATTTTTTCACAGCCGTGACAGCTTTTGATTACACTTACTATGGCAGCCACATTATTGACTGAGTGTTCGGTTTGGACAAAAGCATTTAAAAAAAAAGCTTTTATAAAAGTCGAGATAAAATTTCTCTTACATATTTAATTATTTTGTATGCCATAAAATTATTTTTAAAAACTGTGGTTTGATTTTCATCTAACACCCCATAAGTAATGAATAAGATAATTTAAAATTATCAACAAACTTTGTTTAAACTGCAGCAAGTCAATGGCGTGAAATTTGCGTCAAAACAAACATAAAGGCAAGAATCATAAAGTCGATCTTCATTTTACTTACAAATCACAATGCACACTAACCGTAAAAGGATATAAAGACATTTGTGGAATTTTACATCGAAAAAATGGTATAATATAAAGTTGTAGGTAAACCTTGCTGTAAAGCAAGCTATCAGTAACGTGAGATATACGTTAAAACGAAAAAAAATAAAGGATAAATCATAAAATCTTACTATCTTCTTCAATCCTTAATATAAAATTTATTTGACTAATTTAAAAAAAAATAAAAAAGTTAAAAAAATTACTTAATTGCTACCATATGTTAATATTTATAAGCTTAGCAAATTAGTTTGAAAAAAATAAATATAATATTTTAAAGTAATTTATTTGATTTTTTTAATTTTTTAAAATTAATAAACTGGGTTTTATTTAAGATTGAAAGTAGTATAAATTATGACGAAGGAGGGGGGAAAGGTGTTTTGTTATATAAAAGGCATTATTTCACAATGCAAAACCTAACACTTAGCTTTAATTAACAATTCTTTCAATATGGAGATACAGATCCCATATTCCATCATCTTCACCTTCTTTTGCTTCTTCTTTCTGATCTGCAAGCTATCTTCTTCTTCCAAGAAACCCACCAAAACCCTACTTCCAGGGCCATGGAAATTACCTCTCATCGGAAACCTCCACCAACTTGCTAGCTCACTACCTCATCGTTCTCTCACAAATCTTGCAAACAAGTACGGGCCCTTCATGCATCTTCAACTTGGACAGGTTTCTCATATCATAGTGTCTTCACCAGAATATGCCAAAGAAATAATTAAGACACATGATCAGATCTTTGCAAATAGGCCCAAAAATCTTGCCACTGATATCTTTTCTTACAATAGCACAGATATTGCCGTTTCCCCCTATGGAAACTACTGGAGGCAACTTCGAAAGATTTGTGTTTTGGAACTTTTCTCATCAAAGAGGGTTCAAGCTTTTAGAAGAATAAGGGAAGAAGAGGCATCGACGCTGGTGAGGAACATCTCTGAACATGAAGGTTCTGTCATGAACCTCAGTAAAAAAATCTTGGAACTCACGAATTATATAGTGGCAAGAGTGGCCCTTGGCAAAAAGACAAAGAATGTAGAACATGTCTTGCAAAATTTAGAGCAGGTGACAAAGTTAAGCTCTGCATTATCAATTTTCGATTTCTATCCTTCGCTGAAATTTATCAGTGTCATCACTGGGGCGAGAGCTCGAATGATGAAGTTGCACAAAGATGGAGATAAAGTGTTCGATGACATCATCGGAGACCACGAAGAAAAGGAAAAAAATAATGTTGGAGAAGCAGAGCAGGATCTAGTTGATGTTCTCCTGAGGATTCAAAAGGATAATGACTTTGAGATACCATTATCTCTTGAAAACATTAAAGCAGTTCTTAAGGTTAGTTTGTGAGCACTTTACCCATAAATGTTACTATTTCTAAAATAAAAACTAGTTAACTAATTTGAGTACATCAGAAAAACTAATTGAGTTAATTATTTATAATAAATATGTGTTGTCTTTCCTAAATATCCTTCCTAATCATGTGTCATTTGATGAAACATATAATATTTGTAACTATTACGAGATTAACTTGGAAAAATATATAAACATGAGAGATAAAGTAAATTGTGATTTTATTTAGGACCAAATTAAAAGTCAAACTAACTTTTATATTAAAGACCAGAGGAAGTATACAATTTGTAATCTAATACCCAAAACTCTAATCAATTGTTTGAATTCCTCTTTAGGATGTTTTTTTTTGCTGGAACCGAAACAACAGCAACTACAATAAACTGGACCATGTCCGAATTGCTCAGAGACCCAGAGGCTATGAAAGAGGCACAAACGGAGGTATAGGCACAACAAGAACTTTGAAAGTGTATCACAATTTTGCAAGTTGCGTATGTGCGTGTATGAATAGGGCTTGATGACTCTTATTATACCTCATCATTTAGGGCTGTTCTTTTTAGATTTTTTTTTTTTCAAAAAAATCATTGATATTTTCTGCGGGGAACGGTATTGGGAAATTTGATTTTTTTTAATTTTAAAATTAGCCAGAATTAAAAAAATAAATCATTATACATGATTATAGCCAAACCTTAAATAATGTCAATTTTTCAACAAAATCTCAAAATAGATTGAAAATAAATTTTTTAAATCCAAAAAATGGACTATTATTTTTTTTTTTACTGATATTGATTATAAATTTGAATTTACTGAGTCGAGTTGCATCTAGTAATTATTAGTGCCTTTGCATGTTAGGTAAGAATAGTCTATGGAAGCAAAGGATACGTGGATGAATCAGAACTTCACCAATTAAAATATTTAAGTGCTGTCATCAAAGAAACTCTAAGGCTACATCCACCAGTAGTATTGATTCCAAGAGAGAACAGTGAAAGTTGTGAAATTAATGGATACGTGATATCTCCTAAAACAAAGATTATCATTAATAGTTGGGCTATTGGAAGAGATCCCAAGATTTGGAACGAACCAGAGAGATTTGAACCAAAGAGGTTTTTCCAAACAATGGATGATTACAACTTCAAAAGTTCAAACTTTCAGTACATTCCATTTGGTGGTGGAAGAAGAATATGCCCGGGAATTACATTTGCTACATCCATTTTGGAATTGTTACTTTCTAATTTGCTATACCACTTTGATTGGAAACTTCCAAAGGAGATGAAAGCTGAGGGATTGGATATGGATGAGTCATTTGGTGCTGTGGTAGCAAGGAAAAAGGATTTAAGTGTAATTCCTTTTCGATATTCTCCTTAATATGTATATATATATATGTGTTTAATTATTATCTGAATGAATGGTGTTTTCAATACTTTTAAATGTCCTTGAATCTATGCTGTGGATGCTAGAAATGAATAATAAAATAATATCATTTTGAATTGAACATTTATTAGTCAAAAGTTACAATTCATGTGATCTGCAATCATATACATTAAAAACTGCAGGACAAGAGATAAAAAGCCGGTAGAGTACTTTTTTTTTTATTAAACGGTCTCCACGTCCTTCCAATACTACTTTTCATTAAATTGATTAAACAAAAAAAATAATTAGAACTTAAAAAAACAGTTTCTCAAAACCCCAACTCTGATGTTATAAGGAGTTATCAGTCTCTTCATGAGATAAATAATTTGTCGCGAGAAGCAAAATTAGTGTTTTAGAATAATACAAAGTACACAAGCAACGTTTGCAAAGAAAGTACTCAAATTTTATAGATAGAAACACCAAAAATAATAATGTATATAGGAGTCTTCATATTAAGAAAGCCAAAAAAAGAACTTAATTAGAAGAATCCGATTCATGAGGAATGACTTGTTTTTTTTTTTGAGGAAATTAATGTGGTAGGATGATTAAAGAACACAATTATGATCGACTTAACTATGGTTCTCCATTCTCTAACCTCTGTTTTCTATTTTCATGGATTGAATCATCTTCTTGGTTTATTTTCCCTTAGGAACACGACATACTCATCATATAGGATAGAAAAAGCCCACCATCATAACTTAACTAGTACAAAACCATTTTTTTGTTGTTTTTTTCCAAGTACAAGTATTATCTTATTGAAAATGATGTCATGTACTAAATACAGATATTTCTCTTAACAGAAATTTAAATTTTAGTTAGTTATATTTGTGAAAAGCTAGTCCTTTCCGTTATATTCAACTACTGATCAGTTTGCCTTTTTTTTTTTTTTTTTTCCCGTGTCCATCAGTATGTTCCAATTTGTCTTTGGTATATTCTATGTGTGGCGGGTTCTGTGCATCATTGCTCGAATGTGTCTGGTCTTTTAGTCTAATTTGAATTTCTTTACGTAGTCATTTTATCTTTTAATAATGTTAATTTTTATATTAAAAGAATATTTTTTTAAAAATTCCATTGATGCTAATAATGCGGACTTTTCTTTTGCTTGGTCACATGAAAATGGCATCTCTGGGTTCCACAATTTTCCCCTTTTTATATTCGAAACAGCAGGCTGGTTTTGGGACTTGGGAGTGCATTATTGCATACTCCTCAATATGTGACCCATTCAGATTAATCTTGAATCATCAAGATTTATACTAGTTTGCTTGGATTAATGGTTGTTAGGTGAATTTTATTTCAACAGACTTTTTAATAAATTGAGTTAAGATAAAACTAAATTAGCATAATGGATAATTGTTTATAAAAAAAGTTTGTTTTTAATAGATAATAATTTTAAATAAGGAATTTTATAATTATCACTTTTAAGAAATAAATTTATTATTAAAAATATTTAATCTGGACCATCAATCATATTTTGGACAACAATGATAAAACTTTCATCACCCCGCTTAGAGGGTGTTTAAGATACCTAAAATCACTTAAAAATAGTATTTTTATGTAAGTTGAGACAAAACTCGATCCTCTTACATATGTATTTCGTATGCTATAGAATTATTTTTAAAATTATGGTTTGGTTTCTACTAAAATACTTTCTTAATGAGAATTGGACACGTCTACACAAATGCAATTAATTAATGGAATTTTGTCTTTGCATCAAAGCTATAGTTTCTAACACATGAATTTCAACCACACAAACCTAATCACAGCACACAATGATGTGGACATTTGTGGAATTGTACATTGTGAATATGACATAACATATATAAATATAAAAAAAATCTTTTTCTTTAGTAGCTAGCCTCAGAAAGTCAATGGCAAATAAATATGCAATAAAATTAAAACAAAAATAAAGAAATCACGCCTCAATTATTGAATACAGAAGGCATGACTTGACAACCCAAAACCTGGCTCTTATTGGCTTTATCATTCCTTCAGCTTTAATACATATGCAACCATGGAAATATATACATATCTCATATTCCATCATCTTGACCTTCTTCTGCTTCTTCTTTCTGCTCTGCAACCTATCTTCTCCCAAGAAACCCACCAAAACTCTACCTATAGGGCCATGGAAGTTACTTCTTATCGGAAACCTACACCATCTTGCTGGCTTACCACCTCATAAAGTTGTTCTATATTTTAATTACAAATTACATTCGCACCAATAATAAAAGGATATAACGACATTTGTGGAATTTTACATTGTAAAAATAATATAAAATTATAGGTAAACCTTGCCGAAAAGCAACTTATCAACGGCGTGAGATTTACGTTAAAAAAAAAAGGGGATAAATCATAAAGTCTATCTTCTTTATGTAAATACTGCCTGCTGTCCTTAATATATAAAATATAGTTGACTAATTTAAAAAAATTAAAACAGTTCAAAAATTATTTAATTATATCATATGTTATATGGTCTGTCTAAAATACCTATATATGATTAGATTATATAGCAATTTATAAATTAAACAAATTAGTTTGAAGAAAAACAACAAACATAATACTTTAGAGTTTTTATAAGCCGAGTAAATTAGTTTGAAAAAAATAATAAATATAGTATTTTAAAGTAATTTATTTAACTTTATTAATCTTTTCAAATTAGTAAACTGTACCTTATATTAAGAAAGCATAATACTTTAAATTTTTATAAGTTGAGTAAATTAGTTTGGAGAAAAACAAAAAATATAATATTTTAAAGTAATTTATTTAACCTTTTTAATCTCTTGAAATTAGTAAATTAGACCTTATATGAAGAATGAGAGCTAGTATAAATTATGATGATCTGCATCAGCCCAAAAGGAGGGGGGAAGTATTTTCTCATATAAAAGGCATTATTTCACGATACAAAACCTCAGCTCACACTTATCTTCAATTAAAATTCTTTCAATATGGAGATAAAGATCCTATATTCCATCATCTTCACCTTCTCCTGCTTCTTCTTTCTAATCTGGAAGCTATCTTCTTCCAAGAAACCCACCAAAACCCTACCTCCAGGGCCATGGAAATTACCTCTCATCGGAAACCTACACCAACTTACTGGCTCCCTACCTCATCGTTCTCTCACAAATCTTGCAAACAAGTACGGGCCCTTCATGCATCTTCAACTTGGACAGGTTTCTCATATCATAGTGTCTGCACCTGAATATGCCAAAGAAATATTGAAGACACATGATCGGGTCTTTGCAAATAGGCCAAAAAGTCTTGCCACTGACGTCTTTTCTTACAATAGAACAGATATTGTCTTCTCCCCATATGGAAATTATTGGAGGCAACTTCGAAAGATTTGTCTGCTAGAGCTTTTCTCACCGAAGAGGGTTCAGACTTTTAGAAGAATAAGAGAAGAGGAGGTATCGACACTTTTGAGGAACATCTCTGAACATGAAGGTTCTGCCATAAACCTTAGTAGAAATATCTTCGCACTCACAAATTCTATAGTGGCAAGAGCAGCCTTAGGCAAAAAGACAGATAATGTAGAACATATCCTACATAATCTGGAGCATGTGACAGAGCTATGTTCTGGCTTGTCAATTTCCGATTTTTATCCTTCGCTGAAATTTATTAGTGTTGTCACTGGGATGAGAGCTCGAATTATGAAAGTGCAGAAAGATGGTGATAGAGTGTTTGATGATATCATCAGAGACCACATAGAAAAGAACAGGAACAATGATGGAGAGTACGAGGAGGATCTCGTTGATGTTCTTCTCAGGATTCAAAAGGACAATGACTTTGAGACCCCATTATCTTTCGAAAACGTTAAAGCAGTTCTTAAAGTTAGTTCGTGTGCACTTTTACCCCCATAGATATTATAAATTTTTAATCTGATGCACAAAACACACGCACGCACACATCTCTATAATCAATTGTTTGATTTCCTTTTTCAGGATGTTTTATTTGCTGGAACTGAAACAACAGCAACGACAACAAACTGGGCAATGTCAGAATTGCTCAAAAACCCAGAAGCTATGGAGGAGGCACAAATGGAGGTATATAGGCACAACAAAAACTTTGAAATAACTGTATTACAATTTAGCAAGTGTTGTTTGTTTGTGTATTAAATATGACTCTTACTATACCCCAGGTCATTTAAGGGTGCTCGTTTTAGATTTTTTTTTTGAAGGGGAATTACAATTAAGTCTAAAAAAATTACTAAAAAGTTTGAATAATAGCCTAAGTAGCTTATAACAACAAGTTCTAAACTTCAACGTAGAAAATGATAATTTCTTAGACTTGTTTTGTAATTTTTTTTCCTTAAAACCTTATTGTAATTCTCCCATTTTTTAAAAAAATCATTGACTATTTGTGTATTAAATATGACTCTTACTACACCCCAAGTCATTTAGGGCTGCTTGTTTTAGATTTTTTGAAAAAAATCACTGACCAAACATTTAAGGGTTAAAAACACTTTTATTTGATTTGAATTTTGAAAATGAATCAGAATAAAAAAAACAGTAAGTCATATAA